GCAGGGGCCTTGTCGTCGTGCCGTTTTTTTCTTCGGTGCCTTTCGTTTCGGTTCGGATTCGCCCCTTGATCGGTTCGTCCCACTTCGGAGCTCAATCGGATCTCGAGTTCGAACTGGTTGAACGCCCCGCAAGTTCCTTTCTCCCGCCCGTCGTGGTCGCGCTCGGTTCGCCCCGCTGCGGAACTGAGTGTCTCGGGCAGTGGCTCCGGAACTGGATTGGATCTTGAGCTCGAGCTGGTCGAGCGCCCCGCGCATCTCGACCAGAGCTAGCCCGAGATATGTGCTCAGGCAGTTCGAGCTTAATGCGGGATGACGATTAATGAGAACAATGGGAGAGAACGATTAAATCATCGTTTTCTGCGATTTCTGCATAATTTTCTGACTGGAGAAGAACGATTAAGAAATAGTTGTCCAGCCCGCGGCCGGTTTTTTCGAATCGTCATCCCGGGCGCCGCCGCGTGAACACGACCCCCGGTCATTTATTAATCGTCATCCTCCATTACGGTTATCCAAATCGGTTCGGCCAAAACTCTGACGCCAAGGACGGCTTGATCCACAACGCAACATGGCGCGGCACAGATCAACGCGGTGCGACACGCTGAACTCAACACAGCACGGCTCATCACGGCGCAGTACAGCACTGGCCATCGCTCGGACGTCCATTCCCTGTGTTTTTTTCGGTTTCGTGCGTGGTTTTTTCGCCAACTGATCAAGGATGCTCCTCGATGGTCCTCGCCGAGAAAAAATGCACACGTCCGAGCGATGCCAGGAGCACAGCCCGTGGCATGGTACATCACGATCTTGACTCTGAGCACTGCCATTGCCCGTCGCCCAAAATTGACGTCTTGAACACGAGGCCATAATCACATCTCTGCATCCCTTTCTGGGGTCGTGGGTTGATATTGGTGGACCCAGAGTTGCCCTGGAGCTTCTGTAGGATCCCTGGTGCCACCAGGGGTAAGAGATTTCCGTGGGGCACTTGCTGGCAGGCCGAGTTCTTGTTTGATGTTCATATCTGCCACCGTGCCTGCGAGGCACGAGTTGAAGTGTCCTCATGACTCATGTCCCTTGCTCCATGTTTTGAGCCTCAGTCCTCGATCCTGATGATCTTTCAAAGGGCCCGGACCCGAAAACTTCAAATCTCCCGGGGCTCCAGGCGCGCCTGGGGCGTCTTCCCGCTTGACTTTTTCGGGCCTCGAACGGCCCAAAGACGGGCCGAGAGGGCCCGCAGAGGCCTCTCAAACGGTCCAAGAGGGCCTCGAGTCGCCGACCGGTCGGTCCGCCGACCCCAGAGCGTGCCGGATGGAGCTCTCTCCGTAATGGGCCGTGCTCTTTAGGGACTCAGGCCGCATCTTTTTCCCAACCATCTTGTGGTGTTGGGTCCTCGTTTTGACGAGACAGCGCCCCGCGTCCCACCTTCCTCCTCCTTCCTCCTCCTTCCTCCTTCCTCCTTCTCCTCCTCCCCCTCCTCCTCCTCCCCCTCCTCCCTCCTCTCCCTCTTCCCTACGCTTCCCCCACCCAGGGCAGCGCCTCGTAGCCCCATAGGGAGCTCCACCGAAGGTCCCAGTGGTACAGCCCGCATGCGGTTCCCCCGCCCAGGGCAGCGCTTCGTAGCCGCATCGGGAGCTCCACCGAAGGTCCCAGTGGCACAGCCCGCATGCGGTTTCCCCACTCAGGGCAGCGTTTCGTGGCCCCATAGGGAGCTCCACCGAAGGTCCCACTGGCACAGCCCGCATGCGGTTCCCCCGCCCAGGGTAGCGCTTCGTAGCCCCATAGGGAGCTCCACCGAAGGTCCCAATGGCACAGCCCGCATGCGGTTTCCCAACTCAGGGCAGCGTTTCGTCGCCCCATAGGGAGCTCCACCCAAGGCCCCAGTGGCGCAGCCCGCATGCGGTTCCACCACCCAGGGCAGCGTTTCGTAGCCCCACAGGGAGCTCCACCGAAGGTCCCAGTGGCACAGCCCGCATGCGGTTCCCCCACCCAGGGCAGCGCTTCGTCGCCCCATAGGGAGCTCCACCGAAGGTCCCACTGGCACAAACCGAATGCGTTTCCCCACCCAGGGCAGCGTTTCGTGGCCCCATAGGGAGCTCCACCGAAGGTCCCACTGGCACAGCCCGCATGCGGTTCCCCCGCCCAGGGCAGCGCTTCGTAGCCGCATCGGGAGCTCCACCGAAGGTACCAATGGCACAGCCCGCATGCGGTTCCACCACCCAGGGCAGCGCTTCGTAGCCCCATAGGGAGCTCCACCGAAGGTCCCAGTGGCACAGCCCGCATGCGGTTCCCCCAGCCAGGACAGCGCTTCGTCGCCCCATAGGGAGCTCCACCGAAGGTCCCAGTGGCACAACCCGCATGCGGTTCCCCATCCAAGCAGCGTTTCGTCCCCATAGGTAGCTCCACCGAAGGTCCCAATGGCACAGCCCGCATGCGGTTTCCCAACTCAGGGCAGCGCTTCGTCGCCCCATAGGGAGCTCCACCCAAGGCCCCAGTGGCGCAGCCCGCATGCGGTTCCACCACCCAGGGCAACGCTTCGTAGCCCCATAGGGAACTCCACCGAAGGTCCCAATGGCACGGCCCGCGTGCGGTTCCCCCGCCCAGGGTAGCGCTTCGTGGCCCCATAGGGAGCTCCACCGAAGGTCCCAGTGGCACAGCCCGCATGCGGTTTCCCTACTCAGGGCAGCGTTTCGTAGCCCCATAAGGAGTTCCACCGAAGGTCCCAGTGGCACAGCCCGCATGCGGTTCCCCCACCCAGGGCAACGCTTCGTCGCCCCATTGGGAGCTCTACCGAATGTCCCAATGGCGCAACCCGCATGCGGTTCCCCCATCCAGGTCAGCGCTTCGTCGCCCCATAGGGAGTTCCACCGAAGGCCCCAGTGGCGCAGTTCGCATGCGTCCCCCCCGCCCAGGGCAGCATTTCGTGGCCCCATAGGTAGCTCCACAGAAGGTCCCACTGGCGCAGTTCGCATGCGTCCCCCCCACCCTAGGGAGCTCCACCGAAGGTCCCAGTGGCGCAGTTCGCATGCGCCCCCCCCCCCCCCCACACACCCAGTACAGCGCTTCGTGGCCTCATAGGGAGCTCCACCGAAGGTCTCAATGGCGCAGTTCGCATGCTTCCCCCCCGCCCAGTACAGCGCTTCGTGGCCCCATACGGGGCTCCCCCGAATGCGATGCCCACAACTGCATATGGTTGGGTCCTTCGCCAAGCTAATTTTCCGCACGGGCTCCTCCTGGTTCACCTCAAGGCCCCCCCAACACCACACAAGTTTTGTGCCCATTGCCCAATCTGCCTTCCGTCGCGCCCGGCCGGGGAGGAGGAGGAGGAGGAGGAGGAGGAGGAGGAGGAGGAGGAGGAGGAGGAGGAAGAGGAGGAGGAGGAGGATGCTGGGCAAGTCTCTGCCCCCTGGCACACAAGCCGAGCAGGAGGCTAGCCATTGCTATCCCCCAGCGGTGCCAGGCCAATCCCAGCGTAAGCTACTGGCAGGCTGGCCGCTACGACTCCTGCTGTCTGAGGCCAGCAAGAGCAATGGCAGGTAGCCCACGCCGCCGCACAAGCCCACGCTTCGGCGGAAGATGAAGTTTTTCGAGCAGTGCCCGGCAGCGGCGACCCGCCACGAGCGGGAAACCGGCCCACGGGCCAAAACGAAGCGAAACCAGCAGAGGCGACGAGAGGACAGGCGACGAAAACCAGGCCAGCAACCGACGCGACCGACGGTCAACCTAGGCGCCCATCACCTGCCTCAGGGCCCTTCCAGAGAGGCTCCGCCACTTGAGACGCCCTCAACGCCCCCCCTCAAAACCTGGCCATCACGATGGTGATTTGCCGAAAGGATTCCCGGCCGTGGTCTGCTTCTTCTGGCGGGTCTGCTTCATCACAAAGCTCTTTCTGACGACATTGCCGAAACGATTCCCGGTCTTGGTCGCCTTCTCCCGGCGGGTCTGGTGCATCACAACGCCCTTCACGATGACGGCTTTGTCGAAACGATTCCCGGCCTTGGTCGCCTTCTCCTGGCGGATCATCACAGCGCTCTTCACGATAACGACTCTGCCGAAACGATTCCCAGCCTTCGTCGCCCTCTTTGGCGGATCTTGATCAACACGACGCCCTTCACGATTGCGACGTTGCCGAAACGATTCCCGGCCTTGGTCGCCTTCTTCTGGCGGGCCTTGACCAGG